CTCGGCCTCTCGAAACCCCAATTGGTGGTACTGGTGGTCGTCCGTCCTGACCGGTAGCACGTGTCCTCACCATCTGTGAGAGAATAGAATAACAGAAGTTTAGTTACCATAATCAACAGATTCGCACGACAAGAATGTGAAGTTTTCCTAAAGGTTCTGCAGCCTCTCGAAGATAAGTATAGACGTCTCCGTACCGATTCGCAAGGCTCTACTAAACCCGCTTATGACCCGTGAGACCTATGTAACCTAGGCTCTGATATCAACTTGTCATGACCCAAATATGCCTTGTTATGATGGCGCCTAACGTGGAGCTAGGCAACCTACTCTTTAACCAAAACAACCCGTTAATCCAAAATAAAGATTTCTTAAAGCTATTAATTAATAAAACTTTATAATATAAGTCTGAGTAACAAGGTGTGGAATGATAAGCCCAACATCGGGATGTCACAAATTATGAGCATATACTAAGAAACCGTCTGATAAAAACTAAAACTAATACAGTCTAGGAAAAACTACTAATAATAGTTAAAGGAAGATAGGAGGGAGAAGAGCAGGGCTGTGATCGCCATGCAACTACCTTGCTAACTCTACAAATCCGCGACGGATGAAAATCGACAATCACTAGCACGTCCAGCAACCCCTGGATCTGCACATAAGGTGTAGGGAGTAATGTGAGTACGCCAACTCAATAAGTAATAATGGTAAATAAAGACTGAGCAATAGAAAATACATAAAATGCTTTTCATTAAATCTCATTAAGTACAACATACTTTCTAATCAGTATATGAGTCAAATCATCTCGTTTAAAATCCAGTTTCGGTAAAAATCATTTGAAGATATTTTTCTACAGTTTCAACAGAGGTTTTATGCAATTTAGAATAAAAGTGATGAAAATCATAAACAGCCCCTCGGGAAAGCATGAATCATAAACCGCCCATCGGGCATAATATCACTCAGAATCAGCCCCTCGGGCAACCCTCACAATCATTCGTAAACAGCCCCTCGGGCATAACATGAATGAAAAACAGCCCCTCGGGCAAAACATCATATCACTCACTCAGGGTACTCACACTCACTGGGGGAGTACAGACTCCGGAGGGGCTCCTACAACCCAAGTGCAATAGCAAGCCACCTCGTGGCATAAATCACTTAGGCCCTCGACCTCTTATAATCATAGATTAATAGCATCATGTTGCGGCGTGCAGCTCGATCCCATAAAATCCTCACAACATAGGCCCTCTGCCTCACTCAACCAGAAACCTCTCAAGCCACTCGGGCTATCAGTAAAACATGGTGCTCATCCCAAAATACCAGTTTATGCATAAAAAACGGGATGATAAAGACTGAGTTATGAAATTAGTAAACATAGCATGACTGAGTATAGATTTTAGATCAAAACAGTGAGAGGATAATAGGAAAAGGCCCTTAAGGGTCTAAACAGCTTTGGCACGAGACTCAAATATGGCATTCAGCCCAAATTTATAGGTATTCTTTCTAAATCATAGAAATATCATATAGTTTCAGTCAAATACACAACTTAATAGTTGCTACGGGGCGCACCAAGTCACAATCCCCAACGGTACATGCCCGCACGCTCGTCACCTAACATGTGCATCACCTCACAATAGTAAAACGATACAAAATTTGGGGTTTCATACCCTCAGGACTAGATTTACAATCATTACTCACCTCAAATCGGTCCAATCCCTACTCCGCGATGCCTTTGCCTCTGGAATCGGCCTCCAAACGTCCCGAATCTAACCTAAAGCAATATAATGTGATCAATATAGGCCAAGGGATCAATTCCTTATAAATAACTATCAATTTATAACAAAATCCCGAAATTCACCCAAACCCGGCCCCTGGGCTCACGTCTCAGAATTCGACAAAAATTACAAAACTAGAAACTCCTTTCACTCACGAGTCTATACATACCAATTTCATCAAAATCCGACATCAAATGGTCCCTCAAATCCCCAAATCAAACTCTCCAATTTCAAGCCCTAATCCCCTCAATTTCATCCCTAATTTCTTTTAATTACTTGTTTAAATAACTGAAAATCACCATAATCACGAGTATTTAGTTCAGGTAGCTTACCTCCACGAAAATCCCTTTGATTCCCTCTTCAAAACCCTCCAAAAACTTCAAAACGGGATGAAAAATGGCGAAGAATGGCCAAAATTCGCGAAGGGTTCCTTATATATTTTCTGCCCAAGCATCTCGCACCTGCGGCCCAGCTTCTCGCATCTGCGTGACCGCATTTGCGGTCCAAGTTCCGCACCTACGGTTTTCACTTAACTGCCCAGATCCCGCTTCTGTGGTCCTTTCCCCGGCACCTGCGGTCTCGTAGGTGCGCACCATCCACTGCACCTACGGTTCCTGCCTAGCCTTCCAAACCTCCGCATCTGCGGTTCCTTTCCCCTTTTGCGGCCGTCTCACCTGCGATCCCCACTCCGTAGGTGCGGTTATGACAGCTGAAGAAAATCTTCAGCATTTCCTCAAATCCCATCCTTGATCCGTCCATCACTCGAAATCAACCCGAGGCCCTCGGGACCTCTACCAAACATACCAACAAGTCATATATCAATATACAAACTTAGTCGAACCTATGGAACACTCAAAATAACATCAGAACACTCAAATACTCCCGGATTCAAGCCTAAGGATTGTCAAAATTTCAAATTCCACAAACGATGTCGAAACCTACTAAATCACCTCCGAATGACTTGAAATTTTTCACAGGCGTCACAAATGACATTACTGGCCTATTCCAATTTACGAAAATTCTATTCCGACCCCGATATCAAAATTTCCACTGCCTACCGAGAATCGCCAAATTTTTAATTTCGCTAATTCAAGCCAAAATCTACCACATACCTCCAAATTACATTTCGAACACGCTCCTAAGTCCAAAATCACCTAACGGAGCTAACCGAACCATCAGAATTCATATCCGAGATCATTTACACATAAGTCAACATCGGGTTGACTTTTCCAACTTAAGCTTCTAAATAAGATACTAAGTGTCTCATTCCACTCCAAAACCACTCCCGCCCCGAACCAACCAACATGATACGGTGAAATACAGTTGAGAAACACATAGGGAAGCAGAAATGGTGAAATGGGGCTATAATTCACGAAACGACCGGTTGGATCGTTATAATATCCTTCGGGATTATGTTAGGACTATGTAATGTTTTTGTTTAAGTAATATAAACTTCCTTTATGCTAAAAAAACATATATAACAATCAAAAAAATAATTTTATGCGCACAAAATTAGATGTTAAATTTAGAAAATTCAACAATATTATAGAATTATTACTAAGTAGTGTATATATTCTAACTCCTTAATTTCCTACATCATTTCTATTTTTTTTTTGTTGATTTGAAGAGAATCGCAAGTTGAAATTCTTTCGCAGGATGTTTTATTGCAAAACTTAATCTTTTAAAAAGAAAAGGGAAGAAGTTTACTAATGCTTTACGTTTAAACTTTAAACACCAACAAACAAAATCAAGTTACGCAGTAAAATGTAACTTTTAGGATTTTACAATTGTCGGATCTTTACCAATGCCTACCTTTTTAATTTTTTTTATTACAAGCAATAATGTACATAGAGGCAGAGCCAAAATTTAAATTTTATAAGTTTTTATAGCGAATCAAGTTAATTGTTAGTAATATATAATAATAATTGGGTTACCGATCAAATATTCATAAATATTAGTAAGTGATTTCATGGGCGAAAATTATTAGGTTTATGTAAACTCATATATTATAGTCTAGATCCGCCTCCAAATATACACAAAATTTCAGATAAATGATCTCGGCTTATTTTCGCAATTCTTTTTAGCAAAAATTGTGTTTCAGTATTACCTAAGGTTTCTTTCTATTATATCTTGTTTATTTTAATCTTGAGATTTTGGAATGTTCTTTCCTTTGCGCATTAATTAAAGTAAACTGTTTTTGATAACAAAATTATAGTTTCGAATTATTTTCCTCTTATTTGAGCAATTTCATGATATAGAGTCTGGTAATAATTTCTTCTTGATTTAATACCAACTCAAATTCAGATATCTTATTAAAATTGGTATGATAATGTATATGTCGTTATTTTATGGATTTATTAGGAAAAATAAATTTAATGAAGTGATTAAAAATATATATTTTAGAAGAGTAGGACCAATTTCCGTAATCATAGATTTCAACAACATTATGCGCCGTTTACCTAATAAAGTCAAAAAATGAATCATTAGATATAATTATTTTCGTGTCCGTTTAGTGACTATCACCATAACTAATGTTTCCAAGTGTCTCACCCTCTTTGCCTAAAGTTTATAAAGTAGCCATCAAATTTCCCACGATTTGGTTTTAAAAATTGCATCATATCAATTGTGCCCAACCCCAATAAAAAACACCCCGGTGCATAAAGTATATCGCATCATGTAAAATTCGCAAAAGAGTTGCACTCCGAAAGGGTGCAACGAATGCAGTTTACCCTAATACAAGCATCAGGTGTATAAAGCATTTCACGTTCACGTAAGATCTGCAAAAAGGCTGCATCCTGAGAGGGTGTGATGTAGGAAGTCTACCCTAATGCAAGCGTCAGGAGTATAATACTTTTTGTATTCACATTAGATCCGCGAAAGGGCGGAACCCCGAGAGAGTGCGATTTAGAAAGTCTACCCTAATACAAGTGTTAAATATATAAAGCATTTCGTGTTTACATAAGATCCACGAAAGGGTGCGATATAGACAGTCTACCCTAATGCAAGCATCGGTTACTAACTCCACCGCTCAAACGCGTAATTTATATGTCACACTGAAATAACTTTATCCTATATCCAAGCCCAATACAAAAAAAGTAAAAATAAAAAGCACAACATTTATGTCAAATTGTCACATAATTTCACATTGCTTGCTAAAAGGAGGGACATTAAAGTAATTTCATAGAATGTTGCCTCTATAAAAATCACACTTCAACAAATTCCAAAGTACTATAAACTCAAGAAAAAATGTATCCAAAATTTCTTGTTTTGCTACTCACTAACTTCTACATTTTTTGCTTACTAGCCTTAGCCTCAGACCCTGACCCTATCCAAGATTTTTGCATACCTAACACAAGAAAATCAAGGTACAATTTTTTACCATGCAAAAATTCTAAGTTACTAACACCTGATGATTTTATATTTCCCGGCGTAAAATCGCCGGGAAATTTCTCCGATACCGGACTCGCGGCCGTGTCGGTGAGCCCTACAATATTTCCAGGACTTAACACGTTAGGAATGTCATTTGTACGTGCTGATTTGAATATTGGTGGTATAAATCCTCCTCATTTTCACCCTAGAGCTACAGAAATTGCATACATTTTACGTGGAAAAATTTATTCAGGTTTTATCGATTCGAATAATCGAGTTTTTTCGAAGGTAATTGAACAAGGAGATGTCATGGTTTTTCCTAGAGGATTAGTACATTTTCAGATGAACGTTGGAAAAATTCCAGCGACGATTTTCGGGTGTTTTAATAGTCAAAATCCAGGCAATATGAAAATTCCAGCAACTATTTTTGGTTCTGGAATTAATGATGAGCTTTTGGAGAAGGCTTTTGGATTAAGTCTTAAGCAAATTGCTATAATTAGAAGGAAGTTTTTTCCTAAAAAGGCAAGGTAAAGTGTGAAGGACTTTATTGGCCTTTATTGGAATTTAAAGAGAAAATTGTTTAAGCAGTTGGTTGAGCGATTATTTAGGTTAATTCTTCTTATAATTACTCGGGATCGCCATTGAGTATGGAATTTCTTGAGAAATGGTGGAAATGAAGGATAAATTTCCCTTTTTGTTATTTTTTGTAATTTGTTTTCGATTACCTTTTATTCTTTTTTGGCTTATGAATTATTTTTGTTTGTTATTGTCCTTAAAAAGAACTATAGTGAAATGATTTATGACACAATGTTTGTGTTAGTGTAATATAACTAGGCCTTTTATACAATATTCATACTATTGAATCATTTTTCTCTATTTCTCTGCATGTTATTCTTCGATTTCTAGTATTACCTGTTGTTAGTTGTTACCCTTGCTTTAATTGTCTTATTTCTTTGCTTTTTTACTGTTGTTACCGGTCTTGTTTTCATTAGTCTCAATGTGGCTTCTTCACTACTGCTTTTCTTTTTCAAAATTGTTGAGAAATGTTTTTCTTGAGCCGAGGATATTCCGGAAACAGCTTCTCTACCTTCACAAGGTAAGGTTTGTGTACACCAAAGGCGGATACACATGTTACGTTGAGAGGTCACTGACATTACAAATGTCTTCAAAAAATAGTCAGATATTAGCATAGGCCTCCTGTACCAATCTTTATGAGCAGTGATAAATTTATATTGAGTATCACGGTGTCCCGCAACAGCCAAATCCCGGATCCGCCTCTGGCATACACACTATTCTCCACCGACCTCACATCGTGGGAATACACTAGTTTTTTGTTGTTGTTCTCTTTTCTTGAAGCTCAAATACTTCTGTATGCAAGTCATTTTATGTCCTATAATCAACACTGCTTATTTTTTGAAGACATGCCACATCACCATTCACCATATAAAAGCATATTCATTCACTAACAAAAAATTTGCACTATAAGTGTAACATTACTATTGAAGGATAGCATTGGAGCAACGGTCAAGTTGTCTCCATGTGACCTATAGGTCACGGGTTCAAGCCATAGAATCAGACACTAATTGCTTGCATCAGGGTAGGCTGCCTATAATACATTCCTTTGGGGTGCGACCCTACCTCGAACCTTGCGTGAACGCAGAATACTTTGTGCATCGGGCTTCCCTTTAGTGTAATATAACTGCTATAACAAGTTATTGATTTACCTGAATTATTTATAAGACTTGTTATGAAATGCAATATATTGTTACACCATGTTTTTCCCCATATCCCATCAAAAGTAGGGAAACATATGAAAGGCAAAAGATGTTTAATATTCACTATCATTGATTACAAAGGAGCAAACAATGGTAATACAAAATATTCTCTAAGTCAAAACTTTGACATCAATATATGAAACTGAAACGAGCGATAAAAGCACAAGATATATAGGCAAATAAGACACTTCACGACGGGCAGGATGAAACCTCGCGCAACAATAAGAATGATCAGTCTACCCGGTTAAAAGCGCCTTGATGACTTTGACTCCCATTCCGTCAAGCATAGGGACCAAATGACCAGAACCTGGAATTTCATGATATTTGATCCACGGTAACTGCTGTGCGATATACCTTTGTAGTAAGACAGGTGAGAGCTTATCCTCGTCGCCTTGCCACAAGTGAACGGAACCTTCATTGTTAGGAAATGGGTTCTCAAGATCCATCGGGTCGAATTCCCATGTCCCGAAGCTAATCATCAAGTCTCGGTGGAGGGACTCGTATTCTCCTTGTTGTCTTATCTGTGCCTGAAGTGTCATCGGAGAATGAGTAACAGAAACAGTGCAATTTAAAGTAGTTTGATAAGCGCGCGAAAATGAAAACTCTACAAAACCACAAAGAGAAAGACCAGAACAAAACAAATTACAAAATTGCACACATGTTTGGCCATTAAGCCTAATCTCAAACAGTTGCTGCACTTGACAGCATAGTTATAGAAAACGAGAACCAAACATGAGAAAATGAGCAGAAACAAGCAACTAACCACTTGATTTTAATCTTCTATATACAACTTGAAAGTTCAAACAACAGTAGGCCATAATTAGAATAGACTATGATTTGAAATTGGCTAAAGCTCAATGACTTTGGTATGATTATGTAATAATCCTTCACCATTACTACCAAGCTAATGAAATGGCATCCCAATAATGTTACCAGCCAAAATGGTGTTGTCTGTTGCATATTTCCCTTCTGCAGAGAGTCACCCTAAGGCCCGTTATCCTATACATCATATCTTCTTAATTCAGGATCCTATGCACATTGACTAATTCACTGGGTACCTGCTACTTCCCATCAACGCACGCATCAGCAGATGAGAAGAAATCACTTAGTTTTTTTGTATCACTGATGGAATTTGAACCCTGGTCTCCCAAGATTTTTATTCACTTTTCCATACACAACAAGCTTATTAGGCCTCATTTCTTGTTGAAGGTCTCGACACTTAATAGCGAAACTTGGAGGTTTCAACAAATGCGGTTCCTCACCGAAACCCTACCTAGACATATATTCAATTAATAATCAAATCATACTGACCTAAATTAGCTATAATGCTTTATTTCGAAGGGGGTAGTCTAGTGGTCGAAGAACTGGAGTAACGTATCCTAGAAGACGCAACACTAATTCTTTTTTTTCCTATTTAGTCTAAGTATTGGTGGTTAGAGTTACTCAATACATTTACCGAAGAAAAATAACAAGTACCCGTAGATTAATCAAGGTGCACAATCTGGTCAGCACACCATTGTCATTAAAAAGAAAAGAAAGTTTAACCGTTATGCCTTACTATGTCTATTTCTTAAATGCCGATCAATCCTTATAAAGTATTACGATTAACCTCAATGTACTTTTACATATCAATGCTCCACTTTCGATGCTCGGATACAAAAATTTATTCTTCACGAACCTAAGCTGCAATTAGAGTTGTAGATTAGTCAACTTGTGTGGGAACAAATCTTGATTCAACTTCTATAATCACGAACCTGTTACATTTTGGATGCAAATTTATTATGTAAACTTCAATTGCAATAATCACAAACAGGAGGTTCTTATTCTTTAAGACATGAGAATTTACCTTTGGCTAGACATATGAAATCCTATAATCTAGGTAATGGTTGACCTCACAATTCATTGAGTTTTCCTTCAAACCTGTTCATTATGTAAAACATTTTTGGATAATGCTTAACCTGTCTAAATACTTCTAGTACTCTTCGCCTTTTGCAGAATTAGACGAAAAATCAAAATAAGCAGATAGTTATAGTGGTCGATAACTATTACAGTTGATTCCAGAATTTCATTTTGGATAGATGAAAATAGGAGAAATTAATAATCTCATGCGCACACTGAGCTCGAGCTTGAGATCGGTAAATATTTCGTTAGCCAAGTTTGAGCTGGTTTCCAAACTCAACTAATATACAATCCAGGCTCAAGCTCAACTCGAATAATTGCCAAGCCCAAACTTATAAATCTAGCTGCAATACTGTCCTTTCTAACATATTCTCTTCTCTGTTCAAGCCCCAAGACTTTAAACCTATAGGTACTAGTGACAACTGTTTACACTCTGCAAGTAATAAGCACAAACAAATTCTGTTCAAAAGAAAGAGGTAGGCCTCTTTTTGGCACACTTACACCAGCATGGATCTAACAACGTCCAATATGGGGATAGCTATTTTTTCATTTTTGGTAAATTAACATTTTCCATCGATGCGCAGCATGTCAGTGTTAGCTATACAAAGGTAGACTGTACAAGGATGCTTTACGACTCCCAAAAATCTAGCCAACTACCCATAGTCCCGGTCCATCATTTGATTGGAACTTCTTGTTTGATCCATCTATTTACATTTATATATACCATTTAGACCATGAAAAAGGAATCATTATTGACATGCACAACATGACTCCGAAAAGGTTAGATCGAGAAGTTGAAACCTTGGTACCTAGTCATTTAAAGAAAATTATCACAGCATCAGAACATTTTGAACTGTCATTTCATGCCCTAGGTTTGGAATTCTGTAAATGCAAGTCGTCTACCCTAGAAATGAAGATGATAAAGATGAATATAAAGATCCTTATATGATTGGAAAACTGGTAGCACAAGTGCAATTGATCACCTGGTCAAATGATATTTTTTCGCAAAAATTAAACTAGGCCATCCATACTTGCATCATTACAACAAATGGATACGAAAGGACAGAGCTCTTACACGATAATCCTGGGACTCCTGGTTCGAATGACGCTTGGAAATTAGCTCTAAGTCTTGTGAAGAGAAAACGGCAGGGTTGCGACCTGCAGCACTGCATGCAGGAAAGAACTTCTGACTGTTCCACCAATAGGTAAGCCACGGAAAGTAATGAGCAATGCGAAGTGTCCATTGGTCTTGAGGAAGCCGAAGGTTGAATGCTTCTTGGGATAAATTTGCAGGGAACCTAGGCCACCAATAGTTGACGACTGGTGCAATAAGAGCTGCACCTGCCAATCTGTTACAGGAAATGGATGTGATTCTTGAATCTTGATATTTATTTCAAATTACTTAAATGAAACCAAAAAAATTTATACAAGAAAAATTTCAAGCTTCTCTATTACAACAACTAATGAATCTACACAAATTCCTTATGACGTCTAACTCTCTCCTAATGTACATAAATGAAAATGCGATTACCTGTGAGGAATGTATCTGAGACAGGTCCATACAGCTTGTCCCCCCATTGAATATCCCATAACATAGAATTTGGATCCTAGACCTAATTGATCGGCAAGCTCCTGTACATCAAACGCCAAGCTCTTGACTGTTCGTTTTGGATTAGGATCACTTTCTCCATAACCAGGTCTGTCAAAGGAAACAATATATACTCCTAAACTTTCGATAACATCCTGCAAAAGAAGAAAAAATCTTGTTCAGAATACAGAGTTGGTCTGTATAAGAATACGAGCAAAAGGATCAAGTGACACTTTACTTGAGAGAGGGTGCCGGCAATTGGAACATCATGTCGGCAACCATCGTACCCATGGATATACACAATCTTATACTTTGCATTCTCTTTAGGTACACCAATCTCCTTGTAAGCCAAGTGTCTTCCATCACTAAGTTTGATTCTAGGTGCAGTGACGGGAGGACCATCGGGGGATCCACAGGTCTTCGGTGGAGGTGGCCGTGTTGCCTGATAAGCCCACGCCAAGAACCCCATGAAAAGAACCAGAAGAATTTTCCCAAACATCCCTGAAATGTTCTCATTTGAGTTGCAAGATAATCCCAAAAATCAAATAACTTTGAAGAACAAAACAACAGAGCAATCTCATTCCA